CTCCTCCCTGCTCAGCGAGAGCTGGCAGGCAGCGCCAGAACGGAGACTGCACCGCACAGGAAAGGTGTCCACAGCCGGGAGAACTGCTCACTGGGCTGCCTGCTCTGCTGCTGCTGACCTCGCAGTTATTGTTGTGTTTTGTTTCCCTCGTTACATATATATATATATATAGACATATATATATGTCTATATATATATCTATATATCAGTAAAGAACTGATCTTCCTACCCCCCCATATCTTCGCCTGAAAACCCTTTAATTTCAAAATCATAGTAAAGTGAAGGGAGCAGGGGCTTATACTCTCCTTTTCAAAAAGAAGCCCCTGTCTCTTTTAGCAAATACCTGTCTTTCAAACCAAGACATGTAAGAATACCTGATGAAATAGCAAGTTTTGTCCTGAGGCATAATAGTTGTCAAATGCACTTTTACAAGTTTAGTAGATCATGCAGGTGGACAGTATTTGTTCCAACAGTCAGAAGTCCTGGATAGAACATTACCATGCAGGTAGGGTGGTAAGTCAGAGGAAGCGACAGAAATTAAAGTATTTGTTAGGTTTGGGGTTTTTTTCAAAACACAAACTTAGCAGAAATAATCCAGTACCTTTATAGTTTCTTATGTCAAACTCATCATAGGTGCCAGGAAGATAATAATGCAACATAAAGAAAGGAAGAAATTAAATTTCTCAACAAAATTGCTAATCCTTTATATACCCGTCCAAAAGTTTTAGTTATGTCCAAACTGATATAAATGAAAGAAGGTTGCCTACCACTGAATTTCTGTTTTTAATTTTTAAATAATGTAAGATTGTAAAGTATTTTTATTATAGTCCCTAATGTATGAAAAAGATCTGATTTGTACAACATCATCTTTCTGCAAATAAAATACCCAAAAAAGCATTATACTTTAAAGTTCCAGTATTTAATGAAGTAGTGAAGTCTAGCAAGGATAATAGGTCAAAATTCATCATCAATTCTTTCCTGGCTGCAAATCTCTCTGTTTCAGAGTTCACATAGTGTATTTATTGACATCAGAAATAAAGGCTTGAGATCCATTTCATCAAAGTAATTAAGCTTATCTCTAATTCTAATATCAGTCATCAAATAATCCTAATAATACTATTTAAATGCTTTAATTTTTTATCTTTATTCATGGATTGGTTTATATTGTCATGTAAAACTAAAGTTCTGGAACTCCTTGGTTTCATGAATAAATAGCTAATTAATTTGCATTATGGAGGATCATCTCCCCCCAAATGCCAGATCTTGGAATTTAATATTTAATTTTCTCTTAGGAGGAAAAAAAAATAAATTGCTGGAGTGTGAAGCCAAGTCTAATCCAGCAGCAGCTTTGAGTAATCCCTGAACCCTTTGTTTAAACTAAAGTAAAAATTTCAGGGATGGGTGAGAAAACAAAATAAATGAAAACTAACATTCATCAGCCGAGTTGCAAATGCAAAGTGTACCACAAATCTTTTTAATTGGATGTGCAGAAAAGTGATTCAAAAGCTAATGATGATAATAAATGCATTGTATAGTAGATAGCAATTTCAAGACGAGAAACTCTTTAGACCAATAGCTACTGTCCCAATGTTCAAACTCTCTTTTGTATTAAAAAAGGAATTTAGTGGCAAGTAATACAGCCACTTTCCATTCAAAGTAAAACTTACAGTGCAGAGGTGAGTTGCTTTTCTCCAGAATGTGGTATCTCTTCATATAAATTAAGTATGAATTTAGAGTTTGAAATTCCTGAAATGTTAATTTTCAGACCAAATATGAATTTATGTGTAGTCATATAATTAATTCAAATGACTAATTAAAATCTCTGCATCCGAATTTTTCAGTGTAACAGGAATGATTTTGTGAATATCTTAACGCAGAAGTGGTACACTCTCCATTTATACTTCAATACCTTACCATATAATTACATAGATATACATACACACCAAATTTCCTATCTTTCAAACTTTATCTTTTACTGAAACACAAGGAAACAGGATTTGAATATGTTAGGGACTTTGGTAGCTTTTGAAGTGAGTTTGCCAGAAAAGCTCTGTTTTAAAGGTATAATGACAGACATTGCCCATGAGGGACTAATGAACTATACTGTTAAATAATTTTAGGCTAATTTAAATATTTTCACTCAATTAAGTTTTGTCTTTGACATGGACAAGGAAGGAGTTGGGTAACAACTTTTGATTTTATTAGGCTTATTTGATTAGACTTGTGATTGTGATCAGACTGCAGTGCGTAAACTGATGAAGAAAGATAAACAGAAATAGAGAAAATAAACAGAGAAATAATCACCATGTTACCGGAACAACACTAAACTGAAAGCTGAAAACCAGTTAAGAAGCTAAGTCAATATAGCTGACATGGGTTGGTATTTCTGAAGATCCATCCTTGTGATTTTGGTTGTTATGACCTGAATCTTCTATTTTTTAATCCTAATTGATAGCTAGCTTTAGTATATCGTGTATGATCTTCAGTTCATAACAGTGATTTTAGAATGAACACCATTTCTGTAGCTTAAGGTCATTCTAATAAAAAGAAGTGATATAAAAACCTTGTGTCATTTTATGCGCTTTCTCACCTGTGTGAGAAAGCTACACTAAAAAACAGAAACAAAACACAAAACCAAAAAAAACCCAACAAATCAAAACAGAAAATCAATCCAGAGATCAAGACTTCAATATTTTTTTAAAATACATTCCTGAGAAATGTAAATACATTAAGTTATTAGGCTTTTCCTGAAAATACAAATGTTATAACACTGCATAAGGGGCGTAAAAATTAATCCAAATGGAAAACCAAGCAGCTAGCCAGTTCTGAAACAACAGTAGGAAATAAAAATTTGAGAGGAAGTAAATAATATTCCTTCTGAATATCACAAAACATACTTGATCTAGAAGGCTCTCCAAATACTTTCTATTATATTCATCTTTATATTGAATAGTTAGTCTAATACCGTTATCCCAAATGTTATACTTAGAAATGATGTTTATGATGCAGCAGCCTCGACCACTCAAACCTACCAAGCCCAGCTAGCTCTGCTGGCTGCCAGCATCAAGAGTGAGCTGTCTCCCAGCTCCCGTGAAGCAGGAGTCCAGCTGGGGCTCTCCACCCTTATCACGGCTATATCCGCATCCGAGGGGAGGCGAAGGATTGAGGAGGAGACCTTTCTAGGTTCAGAAAAGAGTTTATTGGGAGGGTGAGGGAAGACAACTGGACTAGGAAGGGAAGGAACTCAGACCAACAGAAGGGGCTTACAGCAACTTAAATAGGGGACCTCCCCTGAGAGAGGGTACAATGCTTAAACCAATTAGGAGAGACAGGGGGCGTAACACAAGGCGGGATTACATATTTACATAACCAATAGGGGATAACATAGGCGGGGATTTATACATAGTAACGAATCGTAAACTGAGAGGGGGATGACTGATACAGAACTATCTAGAACAAAGGGAGGGGCTAGGAGGGATTGACAACTATATGGGCAGGGATTAGGGTGAAAGACAGGGAAGATTCTGGATAAAGGGGCGGGGCTTAAGGTGATGGACAGGGGTAAACATGGGAAAGGGAGAAACCATTTTATAACAACATAGGGGTACAACTAAGGGAAAAACCATTATAACCAGGGAATAGCATAATTGAATAACAAGCAAATTAAACACAAACCACAACAGTTTAAGATCTTTGAGTCCAGCCATTAATTCAGCACTGCCAAGTCTACTAAACCATCACCATGAGGGCCACATCTACACATCTCTTACATACTTCCTTTATATTATTTCCTCCTTTCTTAGGACAAGAT